GCCTTAGGCTTCAGAGCTCAGTGTCGCCGTCACTCCGTTCATTCAGCAAGGGCTTACCGAGTTGCTTGTACATGCCACCCACCGGGCTGAGCACTAGAAACATGGCAGTGAACCGGCCAAAATCCCTGTCCTCATGGTATATGCCAAAGGGTGGAAGTACTGGGGAAATTTTAAAAACAGCAGGGGATAGAGAGTCAGATAGAAGGTGGGGACTTCAGATAGGACGGCAAGCGAAGGCCTTCCCGATACCGTATGGGGGGGGATTGGCCCTGGAAAGGTGGCCCCTGTGGGCGGTGTGGGGCAGGGACTCGCGTCCCCTTCAGCTCCCTTCCCACAGCCACCCAGCCCACTGTCTCACCCAGTCCAGCCTGCTCCCGGCCGCCTGCCCTCCGCTGCCGCTGGGTGAGTGGCCGCGAATGAGGTTTTGTGTTGCCCCTTTAAGAGGGCGCCTGGGTTTCTGGCAGACTCCTGTCCCTCCCGGGCAGACAGATTTGCCACTGATTTTCACAGGCAGATGACACGCGGGCACCTCCTCCCAGCTCGGACGCTCTGGGCTGGGGGGCCCAGCGTGGAGCTGAGACCCCATGCTGCTCAGGGGAACCTTTGCAGCTAAGATACTCTCCCGATTCTCAGCCACTGCCCTTGGGTGCGGGGCCAGCCGTTTCCATGCCTCTGCCATTCCTATCCGTCTCGATGTGGCTTCTTCTGTAAATTCTTGGTTATGAGACTTCTTTTTTTGTTTGACAGGATTACAGATGTCCCCCCATTTTCCCCAGTTATAAGACTTTTGTTCAGCTAGTCTTCAGTTGGCTGTTCAGGTGGATTGTTCTATAATTTAGCTGTAATTCTAGCTTGGTCCTGGGAGGAGGTGAGTGTAACTTCTACCCACTCTGCCGCCGTCTTGGCTTGGGGATGCTTTCTTTTATTGGACAGGAGGAGCTTCCAGATAAGTAGCTGCCCACTCCAGGAAGAATCCATCCCCCACCATTCCAAAAGGTGTGTGATGCTTTAGTTCTGGTCAGTTTAATATCCAGGTGCCTTTACATAAGCTCTCACAGACCCTGTTTGGAAGTGTGTAGAGTACAATGTGTGAATAAAAAAGAACCCTCAACTCCACTGAAAATGGTAGTTCCTTTATTTCCTGGGCCTAAAGCTAGGGGTAGGATGGAAGGTCCTCCAGACGGTCTTCACTTCTTCCAGGTGCCTCCCCACAGACAGCCCAGGTACGTGCAGCCTGCATTCTGTGGAGGGTGACGCCGGGCCCACCCATGCTCATCTGATGAGTGGGCCAGGTCATATCCACAGCCCCGAATTTGACTGCCAGGGCCCATGGCTGAGTCAAGAGTCAAGGGGGGCACACTTGCCTTTCACCCATGTCCCAGGGTTAAGAAGTGGAGAAATAAAAATGACCTGCTGGAAAATCGATGTATTTCCCCAGAGCAGTGATATAATGAGTAGCCCTGCCAGTCAGTGCTCATAAGTGCTTTGTGAAGCACTTCCTGCAAGAAATTAAGCCTCTGTCCAGTGGCTTTCCGATAACAGAAATAATATATCTGAATTTCATTCATTCAGAAATAAATGACTATGGCTATCACTCTTTACATGCAGCAGCTGAACCACATTAAATATTTAGATGCCTTTCTGATCACATTTAGAATAATGACCGAAGCCATGAATTACGGGGTAGAAACCTAACCTGTTTGCTGCCTGCAATCCATTTTATAGCTTCCTTTTAGGGCTTGAGTTACTGAATAGGATGGTTGTAAGCTGCTTACAAATTGAAGTTCAGAGTTGCCTCTCGGTTCACCTCCCTGGAGCAGGGTTTCCTGGCTGGACCACAGGCCCGAGGGCAGGCGAGGGCCTTCTCTCACCGGCACCGATTCTCACCCACAGTGCCACCAGTCATCCGCGTCTACCCGGAGACCCAGGCACAGGAGCCAGGGGTGGCTGCCAGTCTGAGATGCCACGCAGAGGGCATTCCTATGCCCAGGATCACTTGGCTGAAAAACGGCATGGATGTCTCAACTCAGATGTCTAAACAGCTCTCCCTTTTAGGTAAGAACCACCTTCGATGTCTGTGCTACTCCCATCAAGTTCAAGTTGACACTCTCCCCCAGATTGGAAATAAGAGGCGTGATTGGTTTCTAAGTCAGATGTTGGGAGTGAACAAATGTCTCCTAGATTTTTCTACTATCTGGGTTCACACAAGTCTTGTAGGCCTTCTGAGCAATAATGAGAAGCTATCAGTCAGGTCCTGGGTCACCCTCAGGTCATTTCAGGTGTTCTGGCCCTTTCTGGGTGTATGTCAGTGACGCTGGCTACCCTCAGCCCTGCTGAGGGGCTGTGTGTTTAATGCCAACACTGTCAGGAGCCCTGTGAAGAGAATGGGGAGGGCGCGAGTGGGAGTCCCAGCTGAGCAGGCCACCCGCGCACTGCCCTTTCTGCAGCCAACGGGAGCGAGCTCCACATCGCCAGCGTCCGGTATGAGGACACAGGGGCCTACACCTGCATCGCCAAAAACGAAGTGGGTGTGGACGAAGATATCTCCTCACTCTTTATTGAAGACTCGGCCAGAAAGACCCGTGAGTCCGCTCCTGCCTTTGAGCTCCTCACTGAGCTGGCTGGGGTGTGCTGGGTGTCAGGGAGGGAAGTAACTGACGGAGGCCTAAGCTGCCAACCATGAGCCCCTGAGACGGGGTAATACCCATATCTGTCTGTGCTCAAACCTGGGGACAGAGGGTGCCCAGAGGGAAGCACACCTTCCCTGGCAACCTAGATGACTCTGGAAACACAGAGGAACTCTCTGGACAGCAGACAGAGCCCAGAGCCACAAGGAAGCTCACATACCCTGGCCCTGGTCCTGCCTCCTACCTGCTGTATGACTGGGGCCTCTCCCCTCATCTACAAAATTCCTCCTCCTATCCACCCACCAGGTGCTGCTGGCCCATGTGGCTCAGGAACTGGCCTGGGCACACCTGCCTTTTCTCCAGGGGTTGTCCCCAACCTGGGTGCTGAGGGTGCTCCCCCTTGTAGCCACTGCTCCCCAGTGGGTCTGCTGCTGTGATTTCAAGGACGTGGGTGTCAGACACGGTCTCATTCCCTTGGGCAAAGGCTCCAAGCTGAGTCTTTATCAGCAAGGGAGGTAGTCAGAAATGTTTCAGATCCTAGTTGACAATCAGCTCTCCTGGAAGTAATGCCGGGCTGAGAGATGTTGAACCCTCTTTGTCATCCAAGGAAGTAGAGAATCCCTTTAGCTTCTGGGATCCTGGGGCCTGATTTTAGGGAGTCTTTCAGAATCCAAAGGGTCCCGAGACCCAGAAGCATTTGCCCACCTGTACAGTCCCCCAGTGCAACTGAGAGGCAGTGAGCGGTGCCAGCCGGTGTATGGTGGACAGATGGCAGATGTTCAGAACTGATCACCGCAGGGAAGGTTCTCACACCGCTTTCTTCTTTCCCTCCCCGCCACCATGTTCCCGTTTTCCCAATTCTCCGCTGCTGCAGTTGCGAACATTCTCTGGCGCGAGGAAGGTACCGAGCTCATTTGTTCTGTGTCGTGTCTGTGCTCGCGTGTGTTTGTACTTCCCAAATGGGCCATTTCTCCATGAGCCACCAAGCAGTCCCCAAGTGGGGTTCACATGCCAAATCAGACGGGAGGGGGAAGTCCATGTAAAATTCAAGTGTCACACACTGAGGAGCAGATTTCAAACCTCCTAGTGTCTAATGGTCACCGGTGCGTTAGAATTTAGAAATGGCAAGTTTCCATCTCAAGCTCATTGAAACCTCTGCTGAAGGATCCACTCCGCAGGGGTTCCCGTCAGAGCCGAGCCTTGACCTTTCCTCCAGTCGCTGAGATCGGCGTTGGGGTTTAGTGTGTACTCTGAGGAAATGCTAAAGAAAAAAAGCTACTGTGATTTTTGTAAATATATATTTACATGTTTGTTTTTAAATGAATAGACTTTTAAATTTGTATTTATCAAACAATCTATAGACATTAGGTTGAGCCACACAAAATTGCCATTTTTGTACATCAAAAATGGCCTAATATGGGCAATTTCATATGGTTCAAAAGATAGCAGGCATGTGTGGGAGCTGGGTCAGACGTGTAGAGTGCTGTGCATGTGTGGGCCTGGTGCTGTGAACCCCTCCACAGAGCGGGGTGCGAATCCCCCCGTTCTCCAGTTAGGTGGGCATAGGGGAATGTGTGCAGCCACAGAATGCACCCTGATTTCAGGGCTAAGCACAACCCCCTTCCCCCTACCCCACCCCATAAAAACCAGCCTATTTCTTGTCTCATTTGGCCTCCAGAACACTGCCGTGGTGTTGCTTACAGGCTGGCATGTGCCTGCGAACACACACTCAGGACAATTCTCTGAACATCAAACACTAGAGCTCACACAGTAAGTCTGGGGGCAGCACAAAGGTAGGGCCTGGAAACGTGAGGACTTGCCGCCGACAGGTTTAGGAAGCGTTGGAAGAACGTCGTAGCAACAGTCGCTACTCATGGACAGCTGACCCTTGATGCCACCCACCCCTGGCTCCTGGGCCACGAGGCTCACAGAGAGCTTTCACTCTCCGACTTTGAGAGGTGGCGTTTTTCTAAGGTGAGGTGACTGCAAAGGGACCCAGAGACTGCAGGAGGCCCTGGGGGAGCGTGAAGCGCAGCCACAGAGGCCCACTTAAGACCCACGCTGCCTTAGGGCTGGCAGGTGCTGCACTAATATTAGACAACCCAGCAGCGAACACATCGCGTCGCGCCTGGGCAGCCAGCCGCTTGCCCCCTTCTAAGGGTACGTGCTAAGGCTCAAGGCCAGGAGGTGGGCAAATGCAGAAGCAAAAACGAAGAGGCTGCACTCAGATCTCACTAGGAGAAATGAGATGATGAGAGCACACAAAAGCAAGGAAAGTTCCTTCGTGCCCCCTGAGTAGAAGCTAAGCTCAGACAAAAGTGTCCAGGGGGCTGGATCATGAGCTGGGTCTCCTGTGAAGTCGACTGTTTGTTGAGCAATATCTGTTCAGCCTCATGTTTCATTGCCAGCTGTGAGCAAGGCACCGTGCTCAGCCTGAATGTAGCCACAGCTGCAAACCCCACGGAGATTCGATTAAGCCTTCAGTCTTACCTTGGTCCTTCCAGACGTCAATTTTCAGAGAAGCCCCAGGAGGCTGTTCCTGGGGTCTGTGGTTGTGCAAGGGCTCTGACCCCCTCAGACCCTTAGGTTTGAGTGAGAAGTTTGCCAGGTGAGAGTGTAGAGAAGTGAAGGTCCTGCCAGGGCCTGAGACAAGGCACTAGTGTGTGGCCAACTTAGTCTGGCTCTCGGGGACAGGCTGCCCAGCACCCAGGTTCCCATTGGGAGCTATGCAGATACTCTCAGGCAACACCAGCTTTTGAGAGGCAGGGCTCAAGCTGTTCGCCATGGCAGGAACCCTCCTGCCCAGAGCCCCTCTCAGCCCAGAACCAGAAGCAGCTGAGGCTGCTTCATGGAGTGAGGGACCTCTGTCCACACTGGGAGCCTCAGGCACTGGTGCTGCTGTCATGGGCCTGAGGCCCAGAAAACGGCCTGTAGTGTCATTGGAAGCAAGTGGAATGGTGATTTCTATTTGTCTAATTGTTTTCTAACTCACTGAAAACATAGAGTGTCAGTTACATCAGTGTACCAGTTTTCTCTGCATGCTAGGAAAGAGTTTTCTGTATATTTAATTTTCTTAGAACTTATAGAAATCTTTTTATTGTTCTACCTTCAAAAGAGATGAAGGCGGGAGAGAAAGTGGGAGGAGGAAGGCAAACCTTACCCATCTCTGTGCCAGATTTGCCTTTTGTGGAGAGGCAGAGGGAGGGGACAGAGCCCAGAGCAGAGAGGCCCAGGCTCCAACCCCAGCTCTGGCACAAAGGCAGGTGGCCTCCTTGGACCTCAGTTTCTTTGTCTTTAAAATAAGGATGCTGAACTAGCTGGTGGTCCCCAAGGCCTTTTCTTCCCAGACGGCCCAGCCCCAGGCCAGGGTGGGGACAGGCAGGCAGACAAAACCAGGCTGTGGCTCTCTCACCTGGCACAGGGCTGCCACAGAGCCAGCAGCCTTGAAGGAGGGTTTCACGGCACAGACAGACTGGGACTAAGTTTGGACCAAGGAACACCTGCCACAGCGTTCTAAGGGCCCCACGTTCCAGGAAGTGGCGCTGCACCTAAATGTGTTTAAAATAAGAGCCTTTGGTTTTGGGGAATCATCTTAACCGTTCTGAAGTTAGTGGACAGCAAATGACCAAGGGAGGCTTTGCCTTCATAACAGGAAAGGTCAAATGTATGCCAAAGCCAAGGCTGTCGTTTATTTGAAACCTTGTGTTGGTGGCCAGCCCTAGTCGACTGATGTGCATGTCTCTCCTGGGGACTGATTGACCGCCTTCGGGGCACCTTCTCCCCATGCTCCCCACACACCTCCTGCTCATCTCACCTCGCCCCACCTTGACTAGACTTGCACCTCATGCCTGCACCAGATGCACCTGAACTGCAGTTTTGTGTGTGCCCAATGTGGCATGCCACCCCCCAGGGGGCCAGCTGCTGGGAGGGACATAACCCTGTCTGTGTTTGCTCCCCCCAGGCCTCAGTGTGGGAAACATGTTCTACGTCTTCTCCGATGACGGCATCATCATCCTGCGCCCTGCGGGCTGCGAGATCCAGAGGCACCTCAAACCCACTGAGAAGATCTTCATGAGCTATGTATGTCTGTGCCTAGGGCACTTCCAGGTCACACGCAGACGAATGCCATTTGATTCTTAAGTTCCATCTACTATATGTGGTGTGGTTCCAGATTTGTCCCAAGGCTCAGAAAGGAACACGTGAGGCTGAGCATTTAAATGCCCATTCCTTCCTCAGGCGGCCACTTGCACGCACTGAGCCCTAGGTGAGGCCCCGGGGGAAGGATGCGTGCCTGGTCTCCAAGCCCACAGCCAGGTGATGGCGACAGCTGCCCAGGGGGCGCCGTGAGAAGGCTGTGCAAGGTACACTGGACATGGGGCAGAGGCCTCTGGGGACCTGGGGGAGACAGAGTCAGAGAAGCTCCTGGGCACATGATCCCTGGGCTCGGTTCTGAAGAATGAGGAGCTGGTGATGGGTTTCTGGGACAAACGCCATGAGCGTGGAGAGTAGAGGCGTAAAACAACGTGTCGTGTTCAGGGAGCGGAGAGGACTCTGCATGCCTAGAGGGCAGAGCAGTGTGGGGAAGGCCTGAGGCTAGGACACTTGGGAAGGGTCCAAGCTGAGTCCTAATGGTATCCTAAAGCTCTGGGAACCCCTGAAGGACTTCAGATGAAGGGGGGGCCCATGATCGGGTCACTCTAAAACACGCACAGGACCTCAGTGAGGGTAGGGATCGGAAAGTCTAGCCTAGAAGCGCAGAGGTAGTGAAGAGGCCATTGTCATTATCCAGGTGAGAGGGTAGCATCCTGGTTAAGCCAGTGGCAGTGGGAATGGGGAAAGCTGAGTAGATTTTAGAGCTAGTCACAGGTAAAATCAACAGGGAGCCTGAGGGTGAACAGGGTCTTGTTAGCAGGAGGAGAGTGCCCTTCGCACAGGAGGAGGAGCAGGTTGGGGTGAGGGTTGGGGGGCACAGTTCATCCTCAAACGTTCTACCAGGCTTTGGCACTTGCTAGGTTGGGTGCTGGGGACTCAGGAGAAAGACTGATATGCTCCCAACAAGCAGATGAGGTAGGCCTTTGATGCACTGAGTTTGAAGTGCCCACAGGACACATGCATAGAAACATCCAGAAGGCAGTGGGGGAAATGGCAGTGGTGAGCTGGAGAGGCCTGGGCTCTCTGGCAGGCAAAAGGAGCAGCTTTAAGGAAGCCTGGAGAATACGGGTCACAGACCCAAGGAAGTCCAAGTTTACAAAAGGAAGGAGATGCTCAACCCGCCGATAGAGGAAGCAAGCTTGGAGGTCCTCAGTGGCCCTCAAGCAGCTCAGGGTGACATCATGAGACACATGACTGCTAAGTGTCAAAGGTGCTCTGAACAGAATGNGGCAAGCTTGGAGGTCCTCCGTGGCCCTCGAGAAGCTCAGGGTGACATCATGAGACACATGACTGCTCAGTGTCAAAGGTGCTCTGAACAGAATGAGGCCAGGTAGAAAGTGGCAGCTTAGCACGCAGTGGGCAGAGACAGAAAGATGACTGCTGGTAGCAGATCCACAAAAGCGCTTCCAGCCCTCAAGACTCAGCCGTCAGGAAGTCCCCCAGGGCTGTACTTCTAACCCAACCCCACCCTGGGACTCTGTCCCTCCAACTGGCATTCCACTTGATCTTATGCTGGTGGTTTCTACCGTGAGGCCTGACCTGTCTACTAATCCCTAGCTACTTGAGGGTAGAACTATGGGGTGGATCCAAGAGTCATCTGAAAGCCCTCACATGCCTCTCCTCGAGGACATGCAGTAAATGAACTGGAGAATGGTGGGGAATAGTGGTGGGCTAGGAGCCCAGGGAGGAAGTGGGCTTGGCCCAGGCAAGTTCCTAAAACAAGTTTGTTGCATTGCTTTGCTAGCTGCTGGTGTCTCTCGGGCTGTTGCATTTCTCACATTTGTAGCTTTGGAGCAGCTGTTTTCCAGGATATTTCATTTGAACTTATTATTTTAAAGTGTTACCTCTGGTGGGTGTTCCCTCCATGTAATTAATAGCCATGAGATGATCTAGAAAGTGTTGTTCTGGTTGATTTCTAGCAGTTAGGTTTAAATAATGGCACTCCATCCCTTTGGCACTTATTTTTCATATATTTGCAATACCCATACCTGTAGGTTGGGGCAATCTCTCAAATCCTAACCAGAACTCAATTTTACTAAGAAGCTAGAACAAGACACAGTAAGGGAGGTCCTAAAGTGTTATGGACAACACAAGACCACAGCGAGCGATACAACAATCCCAAATAAGTTTTCTCATCTAGAAAATGTCCAAACATTCCAAAGGAGGGTTACAATGGAACGACCCTCTTTGTAAAGTGCTGGGCGAGTAGGAGGTTGGCGCATCTCTCGGGCCTCTCTGCTGGATTAGATGTCTATCCACTTTGTTCAGTAGGAAGCGGCATGATTAATAGATTCGGGCACAGGCTTTGGAGCCAGGCCGACCTGCGTTCAGATCCCACCTCTGTCACTCAGCAGGCTTGGTGGCTTTAGAAAACTTAACCCCTCTAAGCCTCAGTTTTCACCTATGCAAATTGGGGTTATGAGGATGAAATGTGATGAGAGCAGCAAGAGTAAAGGGGAAAGACCCGTCTTAAAGCTATTGCAGCCATTTAGGAAAGACATAGGGGTGGAGATGGAACGTGGATGAGCTCAGATTTGGGAGGAGCCTCAGTAGTCGCATGCAGGAGGCTAGCATGAGAGGAAGAGCAAGCATGCCACGTGCAAGGAGGAGGGTGGGTAAGGGAGAGAAAAGTCAGAGTGTACAGGGCCTTGCAGGCTTCAAGAGAGACTTGGATCTTATCCTGAGCAAGAATGAATGCTAATGGGGAGGGAAGAGTTGAGAAGAAGGGTAACGTGACATTTCACAATGATCCCTGTGGTTCTGTGTGTAGAGCAGGTTAGGGGAGGCCAGGGTGGCATCAAGGGGCCATCTGGATGCTTAGTAGTTACTCAGGTGACATAATCAGGCTTGCACCAAGGTGACAGAGATGGAAGTAGTAAGAAGGAGTTGGTATATTTACAAGGTAAAGCTGAAGTGATGTTTGATGCATTGGGTAAGTATTGAGGAAGTAAAAGATGGCCTCGGGGGTTTTGGTCTAAGGAAGTAAAGCAATGGAGCGGTCTTTTTTTTTTTAATATCTTTATTGATTTCGGAAAGGAAGGGAGAGGGAGAGGGGTAGAAACATCAATAATGAGAGTCATTGATCAGCTGCCTCCTGCACACCCCCCACTGGGGATCGAGCCCGCAACCCAGGTGAGAGGGTTGTGTGCCATGTGCTGTGAGTCCACAGATTCTAAGCATGGCAAGAAAGGGGCACAGGAGAATCAGGGGAGAGGGAATCCAGAGATGTCAGGGGGCGAGGAGGGTTAAGAAGTTATATATGGCAGCCTCTCCCCTTTACAGGAAGAAATCTGTCCTCAAGGGGAAGGAGATGCCACCCAGCCATGCCAGTGGGCGTCAGCAGTGAACGTCAGGCACCGGTACATCTACGTGGCCCAGCCGACACTGAACAGAGTCCTCGTGGTCGATGTTCAAGCTCAGAAAGTCCTACAGGTACGTCCGTCTAAGGGAGTGAGGGGACTTCCGGTCCTGGGGCATGGCCTGCCCAGTTTGTCTCTGCTTTCTGCACACTCCCCAGCTACTGTGAGCGCTGGTCAGGCCGGAGGGGAAAAGCAAAGGAGATTCACATGCAGTGATTCAGCAAGTCTTTATTGCCTACTAGGTGCCAAGCACTGTTCCAGGTGCTTGGAAAACAGCCAAAAGTGAACAGTGAAGTTCTAGAACTTCATTCTAGCTGGGGAAACAAATCATAAATCAGAATTTTAGGGAGCTGTACACAGTAAGTGCTGTTAGTAGAGGTGAAATGTGATAGAGGAACTGGAAGATGATTATTAATGGCTCTGGAGGTGAACAGAATCTGAGGTCTAAAGGCCAAGTGGGATTCTGACCCTGGGAGCAGAGGGAAGGCCAGTGATGAGAGGGAGAGGGAGATGTAGTGAAGTCGCAGTTAAACAAAGGTCAGTGAGACAGAAACAGAGTGAGATGGAAAGGCACTAAAGGATTTTAATCAGGGGAGTGACAGAATCTGACATTTTTAAAGAGTCAATCTGGCTACTGTATTAAGAACAGACTGAAGAGAGAGCTGAGGTATGGTCACTGAAACAAGCCAGGCAAGAGATTACAGCAGTGGAGGTCATAAGAAGTGATCAGATTCTGCGTGTTTGTGGGTATATGTGTAATCGGATTCTTGATGTAGTTTAAATGTGGAGCCCCAAAGATTTTCTGCTGGGTTGAATGTAAGGTTCAAGAGAGCAGAATCAAGTTTGCTTGCTTGCTTTTAACTTCAGCAACTGTAGAATGGAGATGCCATTTACTATGTGCGGTGGGCTGAATAATGGTCCTCAGATTGCCCCCATCCTAATCCCCAGAACGTGTGAATGTCACCTTATATGGCAAAAGGAATTTAGCAGATGTAAGTAAATTAAGGGTTTTTAAATGGGGAGTGATCCCTAAATGCAAACAGAGAGGGGCAGGGAGAAATCTGAAAAACTTCTGCACAGAAGGAGGAGACAATGTGAGGACTGAGGCAGTAGGCACAGCTGACGGAAGGCTGGAGGCAGGGGCGGGCGGTGAGCCGAGCAATGCGGCTCTAGAGGCTGGGAAAGTAAGGAAGTGCATTCTCCGCTAGGACCTCTAAAGGGCGCACTGCCTCGCAGAGGCATGTTGGTTCAGCTCAAGGAAATTAATTTCAGGTTTCTGGCCTCCAGAAACTGTAAGAGAATAGATTTGTGTTGTTTTAAGCCACTAAGTTTGTGGCAATATGTTACTGCAGTAATATGAAACTGATATACTATGAGAGACGCTTTGAGCAAGGTGGGGATATGAAGTAAAGGGGAAAATTAGGAAATCTGTGTTGGCTCTGTTAAGTTTCAGATGATATGATGTATATATCAAGTAAGCAGTTAGATACACAGGTCTGGAGTCAAAGGAGAGGTCTAGGCTGCAGATGTCAATGAGAGTATCATCACCATATGAACTTAAATCCAGAGAACTGGCTGAGAAATCACAAAGGGTAGTGTAGACAGAAGACATCAAGGTTGGAGCACTCCAACTCTTAAAGATCATGAAGAAGACCCAGTGGAGTAGCTAAAAGGTAGGAAGAAAATTAGGGAGAGGGGGGTATTCCAAAAGCCAAGAAAAGAGTGTTTTAAGGGAGAGTTAGTGGTCAATGGTGTCAAATGTTGCAGAGAGCATTTGTATATTATGAAAACTGAGAACTGACCATTGGCTTTGGTCCCCCATGGGTCACCTTGGCAGGAACAGAGGATGGTGACGGTGGAATGCAAGCCTGAGGGAGCAGATCCAAGTTAGCATGGTAAGGAAGGAAGTGGAGATGGTGGAGACAGACAAGCACCTTGAGGAGGTTTGCTGTAAAGGTGCGCACAAGTAGACACTGAGGCAGCAGCAGGAAGAGGGATGCGGAAAGGACATTTAGAACAGGTGACATTAAAGCACTTGCATGCCAATGGGAAATCTTGGTCCCCCAATTCTTCCCTTCTGCCTCATGGAATTAAGCAGGCGTCAGTGAAACCCAGGGCACACAAGTGTAGATACTAGCCTTAGATAAAAGCGCATTCTTTCATTGTAAGAGGAGGAAAGAAAGTATACAGGCAGGGGTGCAAATACATGATACAATCACTGGCAGTTGGATGAACTTCTTTTTTGGTTGCTTTAATTTTCTCAGGGAATGAGGAGGATAATTATCACCAAGGCTGGAGGAGAGAGGTGAAGGTTGCATGTGAGATTGAATGTGATAGGACTTCTGGGCAATGGTGACGGCCCACATAAGGACTGTGGATGTAAATTTAAAGTGAGGTCAATGAACAGGGCTGTCTTTTTTCCCAGCAACGGTCAGCTGCCCTGGTGCAGACTCATTGTAGGGAGAAAGTTGGATATAACCAACGTAGTGATTTTTCCTGGCAAATACAACAGGAGGCTTCACAGCTTTCTTCTTATTACTGATTTCCCTGGTTAGAGAACATACTCTGAATAATTTGAAATACCCAGAGATGTTTTTATTTTGTCCACTTAGTCTATCCGCTGCGGAGAGGTATGTTGAAGTCTCCCACTATGATTGTAGTTCTGAGTTCTATTCATTTTTGCTCTAAAATTATACTTTCTGGAGGGAAGACTCCTCTTTATATCTGAAAATGCTTCTTGCCTAAAAGTCTGTTTTTGTCTAATATCAGTATAGCTAAATCAGATTTATTTTGATTAGTGTTGTCATGGTGTAATTTTCTATTGGTTTCAACCTTTCTATGTCCATATATTTAAGGTGGTCTTTTATAAAGCCACATGTCTTTTGGGTTTTGGCTTTTAATAATCTTGGTCTTTTATTTAAAGTACTTGACCCATTTAATGTAATTAATTTATATAGTATTATCTACTATCATACTGGTTTTTAGTTTGATCTGTTTATGTTGCTTTTCTCTCCTTTTGAATTTGTCATTTTTATTATTCCATTTTCCCCCTATTAACTTGTTGACAATTCATTCTTTTATATTATTATTATTACCACCATTGAGATTACAACAGCATCCTTGCCTTAATACAGTTTTACACAAATTGTTACTTCACTTCCCATTAATGATAGAACCTTAGAACACTAACTCCTTCAACCCTCCCTCCAGCCTTTTGCATTATTGTAGGAATGAATTTTAACTCTACATAAATTTAACCCCGGAAGAAATGACTATCATTATTTTATACAGTTGATGGTCATTTATACTCACCCACATGTTTACCTTTTCCACTGCTGTTTATTCCTTCCTGAAGTGCATAGTCATGTATGGGATCACTTTCATTCTACCTGAAGAAGTTTCTTTAATAGTTCTTTTGGTGCAGGTCTGCGGGCAACAGATTCTCACAGTTTTTGTTTGTTTGAAAATAACATTATTTGCCCTTTATTTTTAAAGGGTATTTTCACTGGATATAGAATTCTACACTGGCAATTACATATTTTCAGCATTTTAAGATGCTTCTCCATTATCTTTCCATTCTTTTTGTTAATAGGTCAACTGTCAGTCTTACTCTTGCTTTTTTGAAGTAATGTATCACTTTTTTTTTTAATACTTTTCAGATTTTCTCTTTGGTCTTTAGCAGTTTTACTTAGTTTTACTAAGACGTGCCAGGTAATGTGTTCTTTATATTTATTTTGATTTGAGGTTTTTAGAGTTTCTTGAATGTATGGATTGATATTTTTCCTCAGATATTGGAAAATTTGCAGGCATTATTTCTTTAAATTATATGCTTCCTCATTCTCTCTTGCCTCCTCTTTTGGAATTCTGTTTAAAAAAAAAGGTTAGGCCTTTCCATTGTATCTCATTTAGCTTTTTCACTCTTTATTTTCCATCCTTTTTTGGCTCTTTGTGCTTCAATTTGGATATGTTCTATCAACTAATTCTATCTTCTGTGTCTAATATGGATTTTAACAAAATCTATTTATTGAGTTCTTAATTTCAGGCATTGCATTTTTTATTTTAGAATGTCTACTTAATTCCAAATTACCTTCTCATGTATCACCTATGGGTCTGTCTATTGTCTTTTTTATGTTGTTTTCAGTCATATAGTCTGTATCTTGGAAAGCCTAGTAATTTTATTGAATGCACAACATTCCATATAAAATATTTTATAGATTTTAGATGACTTCCATCTACTAACAAGGGTTTACCATTTCCTCTGCTAGGCAGAGAGAGTAGAGAACAAATTATTTTAATCTAATCAAGTACTAAGTTGAATCAAAGCTGAGTAGAAGCTTTTGTAAGGCTTCACTCCTAGTCCCAGTGTGTTCTTCAGGACCTTTTCCCTTTGCTCCTCAGCATTTTAAGACTGTGGGAAAGTCTGTTCTGAATTTGAAGAGATAAACCAAAAATCTCTTAGACTCTTGCTCCACAACACCTCAAATGAGAATATGAAATACGATGGGAAAGTTTAAGCAGAAAGAGGAGAGAATGGCTGCAGTCCAAAGCTTAGGGAAGTTTTGCTGTGAAGAGGGCAGACAAATATCTAGAAGAGAGACATAGTCAGGAGGTGTTTTTAAAAGAGAGTAAGTGTACAAGAAACTAGACATAGTGTCAAGGTGGTATCATTGCTGATAGGGGAAGATAGTGCCAGATCTGAAAGCCTTTGGTAAGTGAAGAGAAGAAGCCAGGAAGCTGGGAGGTGATAGGAACAGGAGGAGTAGCTATAGACATAAACAACCTGCGTTATGTGAAGTGTAAGAAAACAGTAACAGCCTTGAGGCTTCAGAGAGGAGGTTTTAATTAGAGCAAGAAAGTAAAAGGAGATTTCAAAGATGGTGACGAATGGGGGAAAAAATATATTTCACCAGGAATGGGCAAAAATCAAGAGTTCATCAGCTGAGCTCATCGGCAGAGGAATGAACTCTAAAGTCATCGGAGTACAGTGGGTGCAGCGGGTTATTTGCAGCCACAGTGCTGGATGAGCTCATCCGGGGAAAGGATTTAGATGAGGGAAGGTCAAAGATGAAGCCCTGGGACATGCCAGCGTTCAGAAGTCAGGATGAGGAAGGTGAGTGCAGGAGGCAGGAGGCCGGGGCAAGAAATGTTTCCAAAAGGGAATAATGAACCCCATGGATCACAAAGATGAGTCTCTGAATCTGACAGGTCAGTGGAGTGATGAAGACAGAAACTGGGTGGGAGTGAGGAAAAGTGGATTCAGGGACTCCATAGATAGTTCTTTAGAGAAGTTTTGACCCATGGGGCTTTCTCCCCTAAAGTCAGAAAAGCTAGAATCTGGTTAGTTGAAATTGAAATTTCAGAAATTATATTGACAAGGTATAAGTTATAGTGGCTGAGGTGTGGAGGGAAAAAAAGATTCAAACCAAGAAGGAACTGAGAAAGGAGGGCTTTGGATGAGCCATCTATGGGGATTTGAAGGCACCAACATTGGGAAACGAATGGTAGAGAAGACAGTGAGCCTTGTGTTAATGTTCATAGTGAACAAAGGGAGGGGCTAGGACTGTAGCCAAAGACAAGAAGAGCAGGGGTCATACCAGTGGCATGAGCATCATAGAACAGAGTTTTAGAACTTATAAAACTACATTACAACTCTCCATTTGACAGGGCCACAGGCGAAGCTCTGTCCTCAGGGGATAGCAGAGTTTCAGTTACAGCAGTAAAAACAGAGTCAGCCTGGTGCTATAGTCTGTGAGTCCCAGCAGCCTCGCTGAAGGGTGTACGAGACAGAGGCTATGCAAAGATAAGGTGGTAACGAATGATCTCAAAGTCGGTCTCAGATGAGCCAGGGGAAAGGGTCCACTCACCGGTATCCAGGCCAGGGGAAGGACGCTGAGGGTTTAAGAGATCCAAATGGCTTCCAGGAGATGTAATGGGAGGGTCCTCAGCTGATTCTGAATGGATAGCTCAAAGCCTCTGCGTTTAGACTTTTGCCAAAATGCTCTGGGTCTCTCCTTCATGTAAAACATACAAGAGGTTTTCAAAAGAGAGAAATTATTGACAACCAATTTTATGCCTCTGAAGACAAACCCAGAAGGGAGGCTTCTGCACAGGGTTCCCAAACAGGCTCATTGCCAAGGCTGCTGGGCTGCCTTCCACTTACCCAGGGGTGATGGCCACTGTGTCAACCTCTACTACAACCATGACCAACTTGTCATTATTTCTTTTCAAGTCCATAGGTGTGGACCCTCTGCCGGCTAAGCTGTCCTATGACAAGTCACATGACCAAGTGTGGGTCCTGAGCTGGGGGGATGTGCACAAGTCCCACCCAAGCCTCCAGGTATGTTGAACACATGGAGGCTGACACCTACCCCACAGGAAAAGCCTCCCTCCCTAGTTAATTATCTCCCACTTCCCTAATGACTAATCACATTTATCCAAAATATGTCCATAAGGGCTCAAGGAGAGAGTAGGAAACAGCCTCAGGCCAACACCCCTCACAGGCAATTGACAGGGTATCTTCAGCAAGGCCTGCAGTTAAAGACAATAATATTGATGATGGATTGGATTCTGATGTTGTGACAACCAGAATGTGGCTCCTCAGGTCAAACAGCAGTGAAAACTGGAGTCCAGGCAGAAAGAAGGGAGTCTGGCTCTCTTCACCTTGGGCTGGGCGGGCTAGAGATTTAGTGTCAAGGTAACTACTAGATACTGGCCAATAAGGAGGGAAAGGAAGCAGCAGCAATTATATCCATAAACAGAAGTATCTTTACAGAGTGCCCCCAGTGTACTAGGACACAGAAAAATTAGGTAATCTGCCCATGGTCCAACCCCAGCAGCAGGCTCTGCAGCCCCCACTTCCAGCTGCTATACCACCTCCTGGGAAGAGCTGGCCCTGGAGATCTGTGGGATTCCTCCCTCAGCCAGCCAGGAAGATCCACACCACCCCTGTGTTGAGTGCACCTGGCTTGGCCTTTCTCACTGGGGATGCATGAGAGGATTAAGCTCTACAAAAAGTGATTTGAATACGTTCTCTGTTTTCCCCAAAATGGTGCATAGAACCATTCTACATGCACAGAGAAGTTGATTCATTACATACAATGGATCATTTGGGTTTTAGGGTTTAATTCTCTCTCAGAACCCCAGATGAGAAGGGCTGCAGATGGAGCCAAGTTTGCCCTGTTCTCAAGACTGGTGAGAGACCAGGGACACCCAGGTCTAGAGAAGCTTCCTCTGGGGACTGGTCACCAGCCTGCCTTCCTCTGCTGCGCCAGAGGGAGAGCACAACTTCACTTCCTGTCAACTGAGACTATTGTCACTCAGTGAACTCTTCAACCAGTCCTGAGCCCCCATGAGCAGACAACAAATAATAACAACAACCCATTAGAGGACCTAGGACTCAGAATAAAAGTCACTCAGATCAGAGGATAAGCCCACAGAAATGGTATTATTATTGGTCCCTCTGGCAGCTCTAAGAAAGTGCTTAAGGAAACTCAAGGGGAGGGGCCACCAAAAAAGATTCTTCTGGAACTAAAAATGAACAAGAACGATTTTCTAATTTCTGACTGCAGTAGATAAGTTGAAAAATGCAGTTTCTACTGAGACCCAAATATATCAAGAGATTAAGACTTGATGTCTCAGAAGTTCAACAGACGTTTAGAAAGAGAAAAGGAAACAACTGGAATGGAGTCCAACATTAAATAAATTTGGAATAAAATGTCCAAGAGAATGTACAGCTTCCTGGCCAGACTGATGAGAAATGACACATCTCTGTCCTGTTGGTAAAAAAAATAGAGGGGAAATCTTACAAGTCAGAAGGAACAAGTTACCTATAGAAGAAACAACAATCTGATGGGCCTTGAACTTCTCACCTGCAACAGGAGCTTGGAAGACTGTGGAATCATATCGACATGCTACTTAGATAAAAGGGCTGATCCAAGAACCCTATACCCCACCAAGATATCATTTACCTGTCAGGACAAAAGAAAGATATAAGGATATGGAAGAATCTGGAGAGTGTAACACTCATGTGCATCACCTGAGGAACATGTTTGAAGAACCAGATCAGAGACATCAAGACGGAGGAAGATAAAGAGGAGACAGTCGTAAGTAAGAAGCCTGGAGAGGAAGGTGTAAAATTAAAAGTAAGATGGATGCCATGGCCAGGTGGCTCAGTTGGTTGGAGCGTTGTCCCATACACCAAAAGGTAGTGGGTTCCATTCTGGTCAGGGCACATACCTAGGTTGTGGGTTCGATCCCAGTTGGGGTGAGTGTGGGAGGCAACTGATGGATGCTTCTCTCTCTCCCCCTTCTTCTCTCTCTAAAAATAAATGCTAAATAAGGATGTTAGAATTAGCAGAAACACACTGAAAGAGAAATCCTGATACTAGGCTATAACTAAAGATAAGTTATTTTAGTAAAAATGAGAGTACGGAGTGGAAGGAAGAGAAGGGAGTAAGAATACTCAAAAATGTCATCTTATTGGGATAAGAGAGGATGTTTGAAATTAATAACTGAGAAGTGAATATCTCATTCCAAATGTGACAAACTGAATTCTGTTAAAAGCAGAGATGATCAGATTGGGCCTTAAAATAAAGCAAAGGAAGAAAACTAGCTATAACTTGTTTGCAAGAAACATATAAAACAACAGATTAAATGGAAAGAGGTAGAAATAGTGATGGTAGGGGAACTAAGAGAGATGTACAAGTGGTAACATTAGTATCGGACAAGGTGGAATTTAAGATTAAAAGCACTAACCAGCATAAGGAAGGACATGTGACAACAAACAGCCAGTAGATATCCAACATGACAACTAAATATATAAAGTGAGCGATTAAAAATACAAGGAGAACTTGATTTAAAATACACTTAAATTTTATATACCAAGGAGACAAAATAATGACATGGGAAAATTGAATAATATGAATAAGCACTTGGTTTGATTATTAATATATTGGAAACCTAACATCTGCCCAATAGAGTTTTTTCACATGTTCACATATAAATAACTGTACCGGTAATCACAAAAAAAAGTTTACAAATTTTGTAGATGTTATAGACTACTAATTATCTGATAATGAGAAGTAATTAAAATGTGACCTAATAAGAAAACACTCCTAGATTGTTATTAGATCAGAGAGGAAATTAAAAAGGAAATTATAAACTGTCTCAAAAGCAAAGAAAAAGAGACCATTTCACATCAAAACCTATGGGAGACAGAGAAAGCTGTACACAAGGAATATTCGTGTCTTAAAAACCCACAAAGGAAGTCTTGTGTTAAGAAATTAATTAGGAAAAGAACAAAGTGACTGGTAAGAATAAAAAGAGTGAAATTAATAAAAACAAAATAATAAAGGAATAAATAGAGAAACAGATAAATCCTCATACCTGATCTGATAAAGGAAAAAGAACAAAAACAGGCAAAATGAGGAATGAGAGGAAAGATTAAAAAGATCTATCATAGAAAAATACATATCTGAACTTTCTCAAACCTTCAAAATATTATTTTAACTACCTCAGACCATGGGGGGGAAATGTACAGCTCCTTCATTTGTTTTAGATAGCCAGTATAATTGTAATTATAAAAACTGATTAGGTTATGGTTTTACTTATTTTTATACTATTTTTAATCTCACAAATACAAAAGCAAAATTCTAATCATGGTATTAGAAGTAGAGTCCAGCTATGTGTCTAATTGCTTGAACAGAGAACAAATTAAATTCCCAGATGCAGATAGTTCACTCCCAGGAAATCAGTCAACATTACATATAACACAAACAAATTAAAACAGGAAAAAAAACTACCCTATAATATTTCTAATAAATGCTGAGAAGGCATTTAATTAAATGCAGCAGTCAGTCTTAATAAAATACCTAAAAGTAGGACTAGCAGAAAACTTCTTCAATATAATGAAGGCTATTTCCCAGAAACTAAAAGCATTACAATTAATTTCAGTAATTAAACCATGATTCCACCATCACCGTAATTGGCAAATCTGGGAAATGCACTATGACAAGAAAATGAAATAGATTAAATAAACCTACCTTTATCGCTGTCAGGGTTAAGGAAATGAGTATTTCCAAAACCTGCTTCCAGTAAGATCAACTGGCACAGCCTTTGTGATGAGCAATTTGGAAATGTGAAGCAAAAGCTTCAAAACAGTGGGTGGGGAGAGATTAATTGAAGAACTTATATGCATATATGCATAACCCATGGACACAGACAATAGTGTGGAGAAGGCCTGCAGGGGCGTGGATATGGGGTGGAGGGGATCAATGGGTAAAAAGGGGGGAACATCTGTAATACTTTCAACAATAAAGATAAATTAAAAAAAAAAAAGAAAGAAACTGTGCTTTTTGATCCAGCAACTTGATTTCTCAGAACTTATCTGAAGGCCATGATCATGGACAGGGACAGAGATTTAGCTGCATTATATGTTACTGCACTGTTTGTATTTGCAAAAATGTTAAAAATAATATTCTAATGTTCCTAAATATCCAACACAAAGGAATTGACTGCACAAACTTTGTTATGACTACAGGAAGATGTTTCTATAAAAGAGGCCCTCTGCACCAAGGCCCTCCCCCCGCAGCCAGTGTTTGAACACCCTGCCCAGCACTCTCTTGCCCACCCACTCCCAGGCCCAGTTTTTAGCTGCCGCTCAGCCTGTCCCACTGGATACCTTGTCCCCTGCCCTCCTCAAAATGTCACTTTTCAGCTGGCTTGTCCACCCTCTGAGGGAGGTGCTCAGTCTTTCTTACCCCATGCTGACCACCAAGTGACATCTGATATCCAGCTACATACCAACACATTTGAGGGGTTCAACAATTATCTCGGAGTCACTGATGCACCCAGCCACATGCTAGTACACAAGCCAAGGAATTCACAACTGTTTGGGGCAATGAGGCTGACATGCTCATGTCAGTTCAATGGCCCGCGGTACTGCGTTTTGATGAAGTAACCTCCGAATATAGGGTGTCAGGGTGGTAAAGCGTGAATAACACTGACCACTGACAGCCTTTAATTTTCCATCTCTATTATAAGCTAAAATGACAGATCTACTATCAAGCAAGGATCACATAGCTTCTTGGAATTCTCTGGCATTTCCCACTAGACTCTGCAAGATCCAGTTTCCTATGCTGATACTTCCTCATGCCCAGTTCTCTGAGTTTTTCATCATGGACTTGCCATGGAAGTGTCATTTGGCCATATTTTTTAATCACAGGAAAATAACCTGATGCAACTGCAGAACTTTAGAGCTGCCCCAAGATTGAAAGTAACAGCCCTCATCATTCCAATCTGGCTTTCTGCCTGCTGACCCACGCTACCCCCCACCCCCGGGAAGCATGGTTCAGAAAAGACTCAAACCCCAAACCTGCCTGAGGAGGTGGTCAGGGGCTGTTTGTTTCACCACAAAAGAAAGAGCCAGAAGACAATTTCATTCGCAAAAGGAAAAAGCATTCAGAGCTGAAAGCCAAGGGAGTCACAGAGCCCCACCCGGGGCTGTCCTTGGCCTGAGAGTGCAGAAATCTGGATCCTTCCTTCTGTGCACACAGCCACAATAGCAGGATCAGAAGTCTCTCACCTCCCTGTTTAGGGTCTAGACTCTGCCTCCTGTCCTGCTCAGACGCTCTTGGCTTGTTCTTGGGGCCCTCAAGCCAAAATTGCCCACACACTGACCAAGCTCTTCGCTTGGCTGCAGGTCAGCCACCTTTCTGGGCAATGGCCTTGGACTTGGAGGCTGATGAGCATGTACAGAAGGCAGAGGACACGGGCTGTTTGGCTCGGTGTCTATGACCTGCCCAGGCCCAAGGCCTCAGTAGCTAATGCGCAGATAGATGCCCAGCCTGACCTCAGGGAGCACTTTGGCAGGACATCCAGGCCACCCTCTCCTCTTCCCTAACCCCAGATGTCACTTGGCTCTGTCCTGCACTGCCAATGTGCCTGTCCTTATGCAGACACAGCAGGGCCTCTTCCTGCCAGGTCCACAGGGGAGAAAGTGTAACCTCCAGGGAAGCAGAGGCAGCCATGCTCTGTCACTACCAATTGTACCAAATGCAGGACCTGATTCTTTACTTCTCACAGCAAGTCCCCTTTGTGAAACTGGAACCTCTCCCCAGCATTCTAATCACCAAGCCCCTAGTGACATGAGCAGCATCCCCACCAGATTCCTGCCTTCTCTAATAAATTATAGAGTCTAGCTCCCAGAGAGCACCTTAGTTCAGGAAGGTGAGCAGTGTGCCACAGAGATTCCCGACAAACTGGCCGAGGCACCTGGCATTGAAGGAAAACAAATAACCAGTAAATAGTTCCACAGTTTAACATTCTAATTCTTTCAAAGCTCTCTCCTTTTTCCCAGGGTGGCCTAGGTTGAGAAGATGGGCTTCCCTGCTGTGGGGGAGGTTGTCTCTGAGCCGTGATGGTTCAGTTCTAGGACCTCCCTCCAAAGCCCCAACACAAGTCACCACAGCTGACAATGTGCAGCAGGTCATGCCTGACTGAGTGGGAGGGAATGATTCACTCGTGTCCCATCGCTTCCTCCTCCTGCCTGTGACATTCCACTCTGCTTCCGCCCTTCCCCAAGACCGTGGCTTGTCCATCATCTCTCTCTCTATAGCAGCCTGTCTGCTGAGGGTCTCCCCNCCCATCATCTCTCTCTCTCTAGCAGCCTGTCTGCTGAGGGTCTCCCCAGAGTGTGCAGAGGTCTCCAGGTTCCCAGCCCCCCACTAGGATGGGCCCTCACAAGGACTTCGGCTCTGTGTTATAGGTGATCACGGAAGCCAGCACCGGCCAGGGCCAGCACCTCATCCACACACCCTTTGCAGGAGTGGACGACTTCTTCATTCCCCCAACAAACCTCATCATCAACCACATCAGGTGAGACCCACCAGCCAGGCCCTGAGGCACTGCGTACTCCAGCTGTGCCCCGCATGGGACACCTTCGCCCAGGGTGCAGCCTGCTCCTGTCTCTGTCTCTGTCTCCCCCACCCCTCCTGAGCTAGCTTGAAACCCCATCAAGAAGGGACAGAAAAATGGACCCATCCCTAGTCCTTAATTGTTAAAGTTCAAGAAGGCACCCAGCTCCTAATGCCCAGGAGCCCAGTGAGGTCAGAGTCTCAGCCTCAAAGTGCGGACAGCAGGGGAAAGAAGGAAACAGCAGTGGCTAATTANAGTCTCATCCTCAAAGTGCGGACAGCAGGGGAAAGAAGGAAACAGCAGTGGCTAATTAGCACCCTCTACTTGCTGGACACAAAAAAAACTACTAGAAGTAGCCTCAAACCTATTTTACAGATGAGGAAACTGAGGTTCAGAGAAGTTAAGACACTGGCCAAAGTCACACAGCCAGGAATTGGCAGTCAGACTAAATGCAAAGCCAGGTCTCCTTTGAGTGCCCCATTCTGCCTCATTCTCTACTTACCATAGCCCATGGTCCCTCTCAGAGCCCCCAGAGCAGCCATGTAGGGGGCCCACAAGGAAACGAGGCCCCCTAGGTGTCTGGTTTGCCACCATTCAGTAGAAGAGCCTCAGTAACAGCCATGGCCTCAGCTGCAAACCTCATCCCCTCCTGGCCACTCCCCGCCCCCATTCATTTCAGAGCTTCCCTGACATTTTCTGTAAAGTCACCACTACCAAAAGACTAAACCTGCCCTTTATGAAGTCATCAAGACCCAATTGTCACATGGTACTATTTATGCCTTCCTTTAAACTGACATCAAGCACCTTTCTCCAGAAAGAAATGACTCAGTGTTGCAAGCTGATGCTGGAACTTGTAAAAATAGGACTAGCCCATTTATCCTTGCTCAAGGAGGAAAATAACCATTTTCTGGCCCCCAACCCCAACCCCACCCCACCC